AGTGACAGTGGGGTTTGGCACGTGGCAGCGTCACCATCTTTGCAAACCGGAGCTGCCTTTGTACCCGGGGCGTTTGTTGCCATGGCAGGGACAGGGAGAGTCCCGCCTATGATAAGAAGACACACATGTGCTGCTTCCAGCTGCACTGGGATTTGGCCGGGATGGCTGCCCGAGCGCCAAAGTTCACTCCATGCCCATGGATTTTTGCCTTCCCGGAGAAGGCATCACCCCCGGCACCCTGGTGAGCAGCCGGGTGCTGCACCAGATACGCGCGGGCGATGGGGCTGGGGGCAGCAACCCCTGGGCAGTGATAGAGCAATGTGGCCCCATGGACTCCCCCCATCCCACGTAGGGTGGCAACAGCTATACAGGGAAGTGGCTTGTCGTCGAGGCACCAGCATGGCACCGTCCTGTGCTTGGAAACCTGTCAGTGTCCCCATCTTGGAAGGTGCACTGGGGGGCGGAGAGATGGGTGCTCTTGGCCCTTCCAGGATGGTTCTGTTGGCTGTGGCACGTGGCCGAGCCGGGGAGGACACCAGCATGGGAGCGTGCACGCCGTGGGGTGACACAGGGAGACCCTGGAATGCTCCTCCCTTGGGAGGGAAGGGATGGGGATGGTGCCGGGTGCTTGCAGACTCAGGCATGTCCGGTCCAGGGCTCTCAAAGTACCAAGCTGCCTTTTAATTAGTTTCGTGCCACAGGAGGTGGAGAGCTTTAATTAAGAAGATGGTGCGTTATGACACTGCTGGCTCTTCCTTCTCTGCAGGCGATGGGGCGAGGAGCAAGGCTGTGTGGGGAGCCCCGGCCCGCGCCGTCCCCAATGCTGCCCCGACCTCCCCAGGCCCGGCCACACATGAGTGTTTTGGTAGGTGCCAGTGTGCTGCCAAATGAGCAGGGACTTTATGGCTCTGCCACTTGATTTTGAATGAATTCCCATTTTTCCTCATCCGAGAGCCTCTCAGCAGGCTTTGCTGTGAAAGGTTGAATCCTCACTCCCTTGTGCATCCACTTGTGTATTTTGCATGTCCTCATTGTCCTGGTAAGGAAACTGAGGCAGAAAACTGGGTGCCGCTTTGCATGGGCTGCCCAGCGAGGGCTGCGCTTGTCTCGCCAGCGATGTAAAGTGGGACAGGTTCAAAGCTGCCCTTAAAGCTCAGGGCTTGGCTTTTCCATTCGCAGCAAGTAATTGGGGAGGAGCTGGGCTGTCTGCTGCGAGTCCCGGGTGAGGGGCACCTGTGCCAGGATGGCATCTCCCTGTCTCGAGGAGGTGGGTTTGGTGGCAGATGCTTTGCTCCTGTCTCTGACACCGATGCTCCCTGCAGCCGTGGTCATGTCGCTTTGCCTGTGCGCCGCATTGCTGTCGAGGGCTGATAAAATGGGGATGAGAAGAGCATTGGCCTTAATTTTGGGAGGAAAAGGGCATTTCTCCACTTCAGTCCTGGCACTCCCAAGGCCTTGGCTTGCTGCTATGGTTCTGAAGATGGGAAGGCGCTTTGCAGGGACATAGGCAGGGCACGGTGATGTCCCTGATCCCAAGCACTCTCACTCTCTTGCCCACATTTTCAACCCCATTCCTCCCGCTCGGCTGGTGCATCCTGTTGCCACTCAGCACTTCCGCTTCCCTCCTCGCCGCGTCTTGCCTGCAGGACAGGCTCAGCCTCGGTTCGTCACCAGGATCTCATGCCAGCGTGCCAACTCTTTGCCCTGGCACAAAACGGGCCGGGAGAGCAAGGACGGTGCTGGCAGCGCTCCCCACGCGGTGACTGTTCAGGGGTGAAACCTGCTGCTGGGCTGCCCACGCTCAAACCTGGGCTGGGAGCGATTGGGTCCGTGCCAAACCTGGGTGCAGGGTTTAATCCGCAAAGAATGGAGGTCTGCCTGCTCTGGAGAAACAAAATCCTGTGTGCCATCTACTTCTCATCCCAGGGAATGGGAGTGTCTGGAGCAAACGGTGCTGTCCTGCTGCAGGGAGCGAGCTTGGCACCCTTGTCCCTGTCACCTCTACCAGGGCAGCGCTTGGCACCTGCGTGCTCGGTGCCAGCGAGGTCCCAGGCAGCAGGAGAGCCACTCTTCTTCCCAAAGCCCCTTTGCTGCTGCAACATCCCAAGAAGCTTCACCATCCATCTCTTTGCCATTCATGTGGAGAAGACCAGCCCCAAATCTACAGCCAGATGCACCCCGTGCCCAAGTGGGTGATGCTTTTCTACCCAGGGTCCCAGGAGCTGCCAAGATCCATCGGACGCAGCGGACCTGCAGGTGCTGGATCCCGACACCTCTTGGAGCGGCGAGTGTTGCATCCCCTCGGACACCGTGCAAATGGTGTTAGGATCCTTCTGAAGGGCTTTGATGAGAGCATAAACTGCAGGATCATGTTTTATAGAGGAAATTACAGCCCTTTATTAGCTCACTCTGAATCATCAGATAATGATTTTTGGGGCGCACCACGTGGGCATTTAATAAATTAGGCAGGCACCGAGGCACAATTAGAGGGAGCGTGTTGGGATGAGGGAGAGGTGGGACAAGTAACATTAATAATTGCTCTCCCTTGTTGACCCTTTCATCCAGGAACGGCAGAAGGTTTTGTAAACAGTAATTAATAGGGCCTCCCAACCTTTGCTGGAAGCTGCTCGGGGTAATTATATCACCACAATCCCAACATGAACCCTCAAGTGCAGAGAGGAGGTGAGACTCTCTGCTGTCTCCGGCAGCTTTTGGCCAAGGTCAGTGTTTTCAGCCTGTTCTGGTTTCTGGTCAGACAGAGCCAAAATCTAGAGTAGAAGAGAGGAAGGATATCTTCCTCCCTACCCATCCCACGAGCTTTGCAGCCTGAGGGGATCTGTGTCGAGGGAGAGGTGGCCGTGCCACGGCCAGACCTGGTGAAGGTCTCCAGGGTGAAGCCCAGTGCTGCACCGCGTCCCTGACCACCTCTGTTCACCGGCCACAAAGATGGGGATATCCTGGGAGAGCAGGGACGTGGCTGCAGGATCCTGCCTCTCTTCTCTCCCGTTTATTCCCAGAAAGAGAAGGGGATCATTTGCATCCCCTGCTCCGGCTCGCCTGGGTTTGCCTCTCCGCAGAGCAAAGCAGAAGCTCGGATCTCGGCAGCGTTTGGCGTCGTTCCTGCGAGGAAGTAGGTTCATCTGCACCATCAAAGGGCCCTTGAAGCTCTGCTCCCGGCTTCCTCGCCCCGGCTCCGAGCTGCCCTGAGCCTGCCCGGCCTCGGCAGCGTTACGTGGGTCTGAGCTCCCCTCGGTCAGGCTGCCCGGGTACACGGCCTGGGTGGACTTTGTTCTCCTGGCCATGAGACAGCAGGGTGCGTGGCGGTGTTTGCTGTTTGGTATCCAAGAGTGCTTCAGACCAAGTGTCTTTGACAGCGGCGGGAGCAAGGGTCATCCTCTGGGATGCGATACTGAAGCTCTCCCAAGCCCGTGCTCCTTCGCAGGCAGAGGAAGAGCACCGCTGTTACCCAGAGGGATGGGACAACCCAGCAGGGACCTCCATGGGGCACCGCAGGAAGGACAGGGCACGTGTCCAGCCTACGTGACATCTGGCAGGATGGCAGCCAGACTGTCCCTCTGTCCACTCTCGGTTTCCTCAGCCAAACCCTTTCACCTCCAAGCTGCGATGAAGACCTTAAGCCTCAGCTGAATCTCCAGGTGTAGAGGAGGGTGGTCCAGCCCAGGATCCTCATGCGAAGGAGCACCCACATCAGCAGTCACCTAGAGTAGTTGTGAAGGTGCAGCTGTAGTAACTGTGGTCCTCCTCTGTGGGGTGGGAGACCTATGGAAGAGCCCCACTTGTCAGGCCCCATAACTCCTGCCCTTGCCAGACCCTGTAGGCTTGAAGCACATGCCCATCTCTATGTTTCCTGGGGTACCATAAGCTCCAAGCAGGCTCCTGCGTGTCACCAGCGGTGTCACCACGTCTCATCCCACCAGCAGGAACTACCTCCAGGGACCAGGAGGTAGAGCCCAGGCCCGCTCATGGGGCATCAAGGGAGCGGTGACAAGC